TAAAACTCAGAAATTATCTCTGTCAGGACCAAGGGTTTCAGTATAGATCCTGGGTATTTCTCTTATATCCATATAGCAAATCTAAATTTGATTATAGCCTTAGTGGATCACACAATATAGTAAAATTGGTCTGAAAGATGGTGGTATTTAAATTTTATTTATTGTTATACTTATAACATTTTTAAAATTGGTCTGAAAGATTTGTGAATGCTTAATCCAACATTCTTAACATTATAAACATCAAAACAAAGTCAAGCAAGGCTATAATTATGCTTATATAACAAATGGTCTAGTTCTAGTGGTTTCTCCTTTTTGTGAAGTGGTTTCAAGTACCATTAATAGCAAGGGCTCAGAGGCAGATAATAGTTGAATTGCTAGCTCTCCTGTGTATGATAGGTGCAATGTTAGACAAGTAACATTACTAATTATGGAAGGAATAATAGCAGTACCTACCTATCAAGATTATGAACATGAATTTCATGTGAATCTGAAGCTTGATGAATTATGCTAGGAACATAGAAGACTATTAAAATAAATAGTGACTGTTGTTGATCCAGATGAGAATGTTGGTGGTGTTTTCCTAATAATCTCAGCCTCATCATCTATAACATTTTGCTCCCACAGCGTGCCTCCTTAAACACTCTTATTTTCAAATAACTTGATTACTTATATATTTTACTCTCCATAGAGGACTATTTAGGATTCCTAATATAGAAATTTAAGAAACAATTATACAGGAATATGCATTTTTTGAAGTGTCACAACTTAATATTCTGTTATCCAATTACATTTAATTTAAAATGTTCATAAATAAATAATTGAAGTTTGCAAAAGAAGACATATTGGTAAAACTATTTAAATCAACACAATTTTCTATAGCAAAGTAATCTGATTTTCAGAAGGTACCCAATTACATAATCTTATTCCCCATCTGAACTTTGGATATATGGTTTCAATAAATTACTAGCTGTCTGACCACTGTGAAAACATATGGTTCAGGTTCAACACTCTTGAACAATATTATTAATTTGTAAACATAGCAGTTGCTGCATAAAAAAATGTTTTCTTTTAAAATGCTATCTTCTTTATCTTCAATGAGTTAATATTGTTTTCTATAACAAGTACTTCTTAATATTTGTTATTTTATAATTTCCAATGAGAAATGTGACATTTAGGGGCACTGATAGTAGTGCTATTTTGAAGATTAGGAAATTCAGTGTAGACCAAACAAAAAAGGTTCAGTACCTTATGTTTGGGATA